TGAGAGATAGGGATTCAGATTTTTTTTTTTTTTTTTTTTTTTTTTTTTGCAGGTGGATACCCAGTTTTTCCAGCATCTTTTGCTAAAGAGGTTTTCCTTTTCCCACTGGATTGACTAGTACCCTTTGTTTTGTGACCAGCAGGTGGTGTAATGGTTATGATGCTGGACTCTTATGGAGTCAACCGCGGTTTGAGCCCTGGACCTGGAGGCTTGAAACTCATGCCAGGTGTGTGTGTATGCATGCCCAAAATCCCAAAAGGAGAATGGAGAAGAAGGGGTTGTGGTGTGGCCATCCCCTCAGGGGGTGATTTCTTGCTTTCTGTCTCTCTGTCTCTCTGGTGAGTGCACAAACCCTATAGCAAAATATCTCTAAAAAATAAAATAAGAAAAGAATGATTTATTTTTAATTTTATGTTATTATTACATATGCTACAGGCATGTGTGTTCACCAGAAAGAGGCAAAGAGAGAGAGAGAGAGAGAGGGAAAGTGAGAAAGTAAGTTTCCAGGTCCAGGACTCAAACTGCGGTGCACCGTGTGGGAGTCCAACACCTCAACCATTATGCCACCTGCTGGCCCCAGAAGCTATATTTAAAAAAGAATTGTCTATTAATTTTATTTATTATTATTAATATTTTTTGATTTTTCTATAGGGCATGTGCACTCCCCAGAAAGAGAGAGAGAGAGAGAGAGAGAGAGGAAAAGTGCTTGTGATAGAGAAAAAAAGGGAGCCTCAACAAAATGGTATTCCGTGATCCTGTTTCCTCAACCATCTGACTCCTCAGGATCTTGAGCATGTGCCCTGCATGTTTTCAAGCTTACCTGGGGATCTGAACCACGGTCAACCTCATGCTTCCAGTGGCAGTTCAGTTTACTACTATCTGCACTACCAAGTTCAATCTTGTTTTTGTGGTTGTTGCTTGTTTATTTCTTTCTTTCATGAGAAATAGAGGAAGAGAGAGAGGGAGAGAGAGAGAGAGAGAGGGAGGGAGGTAGACAGGCACCTTCGACATGGGTCTCACCACACTGTCATTTCTCATCTGCTTTCCAGCCTTTCAGCCAGTCAGCCAGGGTACAGCGGCCTCCCAGGGTGTATCTCGGAGGTTAAGGTTGGCCCGGGGCCTCTCTATGCTGCTCCAGTATGGCACAATGGAGCTGTACCACTTGTACCACTACAGCTGGGCCTGAAGCTATGCTCTTGACACCAGGCATGAGCTCAAGGAAGTAAAGGGGTTTATGGTCTGGGAAGGGTATATTGTGGTGTAAGATTTCAGTGGTGACTCAAGCAGATATTCATATACCAGTGTTCATAGTAGCATTCATAAAAGCCAGAAGGTGGAAACTAGAGTTACTCAAAGGCGAACACATATTAACAGGGGCAAATACATAAATTGGAATATTATTAAACAATAAAAAGAAACATAATTTCTATATATGCTACTACATGGATGGGCCTTTGCATTATGATTAGGGAAATAGGCTAGACACTGAAGGACACATTGTATAATTCTACTTATGTGTGATAGCTAGACTAGGCAAATTTACAGAGAAAGAATAGAACAGAGGTGACTAGAGGGTGGGAGGAGGGGATAATATGAAGTTATTGTTTAATAATTATAGAGCTTTTTTGGGTGATAATAAAAATTGTTGGTATAGATGGGGTGATGGTTACACAAGTTGCATGTAGTTAATGCAGCCAAATTCTATACTTACAAATGGTTAAAATGATACAAATCATGTTCTGTATATGTGAGATCTTCATGGAAAGGCATATAACAAATTCATGAATTTCAAATTTTTTTGCATCAAAATAAATTTGTGGGCTGGTCCTGTAGTGCAGTGTTTATGCACTTTGCAGAGGAAGCTGGATCTCACATTGCCAACCAACCAGGGTTTGAATCCTGGCTGGTGACTTGAAAAATATACTGGGTGCATGGGGCTAGGAGAAAGGATAGGGATTAAGACCCTGGAATCACACATGGCCAACGGCAGTTGAAGTACTGGCTCTGGGTGGCTTGAAACTCACGCTGAACACATGTGCATGCATGCCCAAGATCCTGAGAGGAGAATGTAGGAGAAGCGATTGTGAATGGCCATCCCCCTGGAGGGTAATTTCTCACTTTCCCTCTCACTCTCTGTCTCTGATTCTCCAGCAAGTGCACATGCCCTATGGCAAAAATCCTTAAAAAAAAAAAAAAATTGAGTGCGTGTACACAGAATCGAAAGAAAAGGAATTAGAGGAGTATGACCAGGCCACATTGGTGTGGGAGTGTACTCTATCTTTCTCTCTCTCTCTCACACACTCTTTAGCATAAAAAAAAAGAAGATTAAAAATAACTTGTACTTTAGTTCTATGTTTCACAGCTTTTTGAAATCCTCTTATATTTTATCACAGTAAAAAAAAAAAAAATCAGCAATGAACTATTTCAGAGTGATTACCACATAGGAGTTGTTGCTGAATTCAGACTGAAGGTGAAGGTAGTTAGCGCTGAGATCAAGGAGGGGTGAAGCCAGGAGCTGGATGGCTCACCCATCTGTAGCATCTGGTCCTGATTTTTACGTGTCCTCAGGGACAGCATCTGTGCTATTACCAGGTCTGATACACAGACGACATGGAGGATGCTAACCAAACCGGGACAGTTCACTTCCACTTCCGCCCCTTCTCCAAGGTCCCAGAGGTGCAAATGCTCATTTTCGTGAGCTTCCTGCTTATGTATCTGTTCAGCATCAGCGGCAATGTGTCCATTGTCATTGTCATCTGGCTCTACCGTTGTCTCCACACCCCCTTGTACTTCTTTCTGGCAAACCTGGCAGCTTTGGAGGTCTTCTACTCTTCAACCATCGCCCCTCTGACTCTGGCCAGTGTCCTGGCCACTGAGAGAACCCTCATTTCCCTGTCTGGCTGTGGTGCCCAGATGTTCTTCTTCATCTTTCTTGGCAGTGCTGACTGCATCCTGCTGGCCGTCATGGCCTACGACCGGTTTGTGGCCATCTGCCACCCTTTGCGTTATACCCTTATCATGAACTGGAGGCTTTGTGTCCAGCTGGCCCTGGGGTCTCTGCTGTTAGGGTTCATCTTGGCCATGCAGCTGACCGTACTCATCTTCCGACTGCCTTTCTGCAGCAGCAAAGAAATCAGCATGTTCTATTGCGATGTCCTCCCTGTCATGAGACTGGCCTGTGCAGACACCCAGCTCCACGAGGCCACTCTCTTTGTGGTCAGCATCACTGTCCTCACCATCCCCTTCCTGCTCATCTCTGTCTCCTACGTCTTCATTGTGGCTGCCATCCTGAAGATCCGCTCAGCAGGAGGCAGGCGCAAGGCATTCTCCACCTGCTCCTCCCACCTGACTGTGGTCCTCCTGCAGTACGGATGTGGAAGCCTCATCTACTTGTGCCCCAGCTCTAGCTACTCTCCCGAGAGGGGGCAGGTAGTATCTGTGGTTTACACCTTCATCACCCCTGTACTGAACCCCTTGATCTACAGCATGAGGAACAGAGAGCTCAAGGATGCTTTGAAGAGAGCAATGATAAAGTTCCTGCTGCTGGGGGACCAGCAGTTAGCGTAATGGCTTTGTCGCTGGACTCCCACGTAGTCAACCATGGTTCGCGTCTCGGACCCGGTGGCTTAAAACTCACGCCGGGTGCGTGTGCGTGAGTGCCCAAGATCCCGAGAGGAGAATGGAGGAGAAGGGATTGTGGCATGGCTATCACCCCTGGGGGGTGATTTCTCGCTTTCTATCTCTCTGTCTCTCTCTGTCTGTCCAGCGAGCGCACACGCCCTATAGTGAAAAACCTCTCCAAAAAGAAAAAAAAAAAAAGTTCCTGCTGCTGGAAACTCAGCAAGGGCCCTGAGTGATCCTTTGCAGCATCGTTGAGTACAGACACGTGGCCCCAGACATTTGGGGAAGGGGGATAACCGTCCATTATTTTTATAGCATTCCTTCTTCCCAGTTACGTTATTTTTGAAAAGTCATTTTTTCTCTTCTCAACCTCATGTTCCTCATCCTCTGAAATTGTGATTTAAAGACCCACAGGACCCTGACTTTGGAGTTCTTAGGAGGATTGAAAAATACACTAAAGGGCCACCCAGTGGCATGGAGGGTTAAGGCAGCTACATCCCACATGGCTGACCGCAGGCTTCAAGTCCCGGACCTGGTGGTTTGAGAAACAGGCCAGGCGTGTGTGCATGCCCAAAGTCCTGAGAGAGAATGGAGCAGAAGGAATTGTGGCATGGCCATCTGCCTTAGAGGGTGTTTTCTCACTTCCTCCCTCTTTCTCTGTCTCTCTCAGACGAGTGCATGTACCATGTAGCACACACACACACACACACACACACACACACACACAAACACACAAGGAAGAAAAAAGATACATTTAGTGAAAATACTTTGTGCCCTTTAAAGGGTGAGATAGTGGTGAGTGTGGTTATCACCAGCCTGTATTTATCTCTAGCTGTAGTTCTCTCTACCTGTATTTATCTCTAGCTGTAGTTCTCAGGTTTCCAGCAGGCCAAAACATTGCATGTCTGGGCAGGAGTAGAGCCCAGATGTAAGAATAAGATGCAAATAGAACTTCGACCACCCCAACCACTCTCTCATGATTCTCATGGTATAAATACTTAGTTTATGTTTCTTAAAATTCTCTCTTTCACTCTAAATTCTCTACCAGGAAAAGGTGCTGGGGAAAGCACTGAAGCTGAAATTTCTGGAGTTTCTTTTTTCTTACCTTTTTTCTTATCTTTGCACCTGGGCTAATCTGTCTTCCTGTCAATCTTTAAGTCTATATTATTCTGCCTCTAAAATATTGTCCTCATCCCTTTTTCTTCCTCATTTCTCCTTCTCCTCTTCCTTCTCTCTCTCTCTCACACTTTCTCCCTCCCTCCACTCTCATGTATATGTCTCTTATCCCCCCCTTCTGTCCATCCATAGCTAAGTATGCATAATATGGAAAAATTGCTTTGTTCATTAAGCCTCTCTAGATGGGAGAGGGATAGTGTTGGCTTAAATTTGGATTCACAAAGAGCAAAGTTAATTCCATGATGACAAAAACGGGCTGGGCACAGTGAAGAGGTGAAAGGACCCGGAGTGCGACTGATCAGGATGACAGTCATTTTTGTGACGGTTATTTGTCTCAGGGCAATGATGTCAGAACATGGATGTTTTACCGTCTTTTTGCAGATGTAAGATACACATTCATTTCTCTATCCACTGATCGTTTAATGATTTAATAGTGCAACAAAAATCAACAAGACAGTAAACAATTATTTATTAAACTCTGCTATGTATTTTTTTTTTTGGAGAGATTTTCATTATAGGGCGTGTGTGCTCGCCAGATAGACAAAGAGAGACATAGAGACAGAAAGCGAGAAATCACCCCCCATAGGGGATGGTCACGCCGCAGTCCCTTCTGCTCCACTCTCCTCTCGGGATCTTGGGCATGCACGCACACGCGCCCGGCGTGAGTTTTAAGCCACCGGGTCCAGGATGCGAACCGCGGTCAACTATGTGAAGGATGCGAACCGCGGTCAACTATGTGGGATACCGGCACAGCCCAGCCGTTACGCTAACTGCTGGTTCCCTGCTATGTATTTTTTTAAAGAGTTGTTTATTTAACTTTATTTATTTATTTTAATTTGATGAGAGAGAGAGAGAGAAAGTGAGGAAGCAAGCCACCAGGTCCGGTACTTGAACCGTGGTTGGCCATGTGGGAGTCCACACCTTAACCACCAGGCTGCTTGCCAGCCCCAGACTCTGCTATGTATTACGCAGCCATCTGTGCTGGGTGAAGTGGGAAGTGGTAAGGTAAGTCAGCAGCAGCTCCTGCCCTGAAGGAAGATAAAAGTCTAGTGAGATTTAAGAACTCAAGTCACAGTTACAGGAAGGCTAAGTGATAGAAGACTGAGATTTTAGATAAAGGAAAATGAAGGAAATCAAGTCGAATTTTATGGGGAGGCTTTTTTTTTTTTTTGAGAGTATTTTGGTTATAGGGCGTGTGCGCTTGCCAGACAGACAGAGAAAGACAGAGAGACAGAAAGCGAGAAATCACCCCCCAGGGGGGATGGCCACGCCGCAATCCCTTCTCCTCCATTCTCCTCTCGGGATCTTGGGCACACACGCACATGCGCCCGGCGTGAGTTTTAAGCCACTGGGTCCGGGACGCGAACCGCAGTCAACTACGTGGGAGGCCAGCGGCATAGCCATTACGCTAACTACTGGTCCCAGGAGGGCATTTCCGAAGCAGAAACTGGAAGGGCATAAGAACAAGGAATCATCCCTTTGGGTCTCTGTTTCCTCATCTGGGAAAGTATAAAAGTATGCTCCAAATGTACTTTTTTTTTTTTTTAAAAGTATTACAGGCCTAAAAGGTAAAACCATGACTAGAATTCACATATGGAACTAAACTTTTGCCTTCCTCCTTTGAAAACTGAGAACTGAAAAGGCTCTTCTTTGCTTCATTCATCGACACTGCTGCTTCTATGTTTTACTAGGTCAGTGCTATCCGTGCAGTACGAGTCCTCTGGATATTCAGTGTTCGGGTGAAGTGTTAGATGGTAAAATAAGTGTGAAGAATATTGGGCTGACCCAAATGCTTCTAGTGGTTTACCACAGCTTTACTCAGCACCTGTTACATGCACATGTACTGTCATGACTCTCTAAGAGGGGGGGATTTATTTCACCATTTTTTTCCAAATTCTTTTTCCTTTGAGTACCTTTTGAAATGTTTTATTCTGTTAAGCTTCCTTTGAAACACGCTGCACTGGAGGACCAGCCATTGATGTAATGGTTATGTTGCTGGACTCCCACGTAGTCAACTATCATACAAGTCCTGGATTCAGAGGCTTAAAACTCATGCTGGGCATGTGTGTGTGTGTGCTCAAGATCCTGAGAGGAGAATGGAGGAGAAGGAATTGTGGCCATTCTCCCATTGGGGATGATTTTCTGTTTCTCTGTCTCTGTGTCTCTGGTGAGTGCATGTGCCCTTTAGCAAAACTCTCTCTCTAAAAAAAAAAAAAAAAAAAAAAAAAAAAAAAAAAAAAAAAAAAAAATTCGCCCCCGCAAAAAAGAAAGAAAGAAGAAAGAAAAAATGCTGCCAGCAGGTGGGGTGGAGGTTAAAGTGCTGGATCCCCTGGTTGACTGCGTGGCTTGTGTCCCAGACCTGACAGCTTGAAAAAAATCACATGGGTGTGTGTGTATATGCCCCAGATCCCAAGAGGATAATGGAGGAGAAGGATTGCAACATGGCCATCCCCACGGGGGGTGATTTTTCACTTTCCCTTTCTATCTCTCTTTATCTCTCTAGCGAGCCCACATGCCCTGTAACACAAACCAAAACACGAAATGCCACAGTAGCTGATGTTGATTTTGACTACCAAGAAATTGACTTCAATAGTGATTGAAATAGTCCAGGTATTTCTCAGTTCTTCATGCTCTTTGGGAAAGAAGTACTGGGGTCAGCTGGTGGCATGGTAGTTAAGGCACTGGACTCCCACATGGCTGACCATAGTTTAACTCTTGGACCTGGTGGCTTTCTCTCTCTCTCTGTGTCTCACTCTGGTCAAATTAAAAACAATAATGATAAATAAAATAAAGGAAATAATTCTTAAAAAAAAAGAAGTGCAGTTACAATGAGTTAGAAGTCTTTACATTTTTAGTTTTTGCTATAGAATGTGTGCACTCACCAGAAAGAGACAGAGCAACTGAGAAAGAGAGAAAGTGAGAAATTACCCCCCAGAGGTGACAGCCATGCCACAATCCTTTCTTCTCCAGTCTCTTCTCAGGATTTCGGTCATGCATGCACATGTGCCTGGAGTGGTTTTCAAGCTGCCAGATCCAGGACTTGAACTGTGCAGATGGCCATGTGGGATCCAGCGCCTTAACCTTCACACCACCTGCTGGCCTAGTAGTCTTCTCTCCAAGTGATCTCATGAAGGAATTGATGATTTCCATGAATTAACTAGTTTACTTTCTTTTTGGAGAGTTTTTTGCTATAGGGCGCGTGCACTCGCCAGAAAGACAGAGAGACAGAGACAGAAAGCGAGAAATCACCCCCTAGAGGGGATGGCCACACCACAATCCCTTCTCCTCCACTCTCCTCTCGGGATCTTGGGCATGCATGCACACATGCCCGGTGTGAGTTTTAAGCCACCGGGCCCGGCCCTCGAACTGCGGTCGGCTACGTGGGAGTCCAGCGACATAGCCATTATGCTAACTGGTCCCATTAACTTGTTTACTTTTAAACAGTTCATGAGGTGTGTCATTATTGCTCTCTCTACTTATAATTTTTAAAAAATTTCCCTAAGACATGTGTGCTCTCCAGAGAGAGAGAAAGAGATGGAGATAGAAAGCACCTCTTATTGGGATGTGGTCATACTATTATCCCTTTTCTCCATTTCTCTATCAGGATTTTGGTACGGGATTCAAACTGCGGTCGGTTATGTGGATCTGGTTCTCTACACACACAGCGCTTAACCACTATGCTACAGGGCTGTCTATTACCTCTACTTAGAGATAAGGAAACTACGGGACAAAGAGGTTAGATAAATTGCCCAAGGTCACATACCTAATAA